AAATTCTATTCATCAAGATCTTATGGCAGAACCATATGAAGGAAGAGGCCACTTGGGAACAGGAATCAAGCTTCAGGGCCCAGTACTCAAAGTTGTTCAACTGCGTGAAAGAGTGATAAATTTTAGGGACCAAATTTCTTTTAAGGGGAGACAGTTGTAATACCCAGACCCGAAATATTAGCCCGGGATAAATTTTATTAAGTTAAAGATGTATAAAAATATATATTTTATAAATTAATTCAATGTAATTTTTGTTATATTTGGAAAAAAATAAATTATGGATGAAATTGAAAATAATTTTAATAAAAAGGGGTAGAAATTTGGGTTATGGGAGTGTTTCTGAAAGAAAAATTAGAACAGGAAGGTTGGAGTGTAAATAAAAAAAATTTAGCCACGTAAGACCACCCAGTCAGCAGCCTCGATAAATCATAGCGCGCTGCATGGTAAGGCACGCTGATTCGGTGCCACATTGGCAATCTGTGTGCCCCGCGATCGGATGACCCAAGAGCGATCCCGTGCGCATGGATGATCCAAATTCGTTTTTTTCTTAGGTGTGATCAGATGGTCGAGATCAAACGCGATGAACAGTTTAGATTCGTTTTTTCCTCAGGCACAATCGGACAATCAAGATCAAACACGATGAACAGTTCATATTTGTTTTCTCTTTAGTGTGATCGAACGGACGAGATCAATCGCAGTGGATGGTCCAGATTAACCTGATATGGGTATAAATATTTTAAATCACACTAAACTCGAACCCTAGCTGCCAGTCCCTCATCAGAGAAGAAGAACCAGATGCTAGAGAGGGGAGCTGACCGCCACCGCACCGGAGCCACCTCCAACCACAAAAAAAAAGTAAAAATTCTCCTACCCACTCAGAATTCAATTTCAAGCACCTCTGTGGCCATATCGGTGCAAAATAAATGACGAGTGAGCCAAAAACTGTGGGCAAAGCCTGGTGGAGCTGCCGTGGGAAAAACCGAAAACCTTCTCCGATGAGCCCCTTCCCATTTCCCATTTCGTGTTATTTTTCTACTGTTGTGTTCATCATTCTGTTTTTTACAGGTTGACCAAAGAAGGAATCCTAGTCGCGAAGGTGAGCCAGCGGAGCCGCCGCACCCGGAAACCTCACCACCGGTAGGTTTCTATTTTTTGATTTTTTTTCAGCCAATCGAGCCGCCTTAATGTGTTTTTTTGCAAGAATACGTATAAAGTTGATCGAAAATGGTCAAAACCAGTTAAAAACGGCTAGGCTGAGGCAAACCGCCGCCGCAGGTGGAGGTGCCGTTGTCGGAGCATGGTGGCGGCGCCGTGCCAGAATACCAAAATTGGTCGAAAAGGAATTTTTAACACCGATTTTAGATTTTTAGAATATTTTTAGATACGTGAAGCGTGTTTAATCTCCATAGAAAAATTTAAAAAATTCGAGTACCACCAATAGACAAAGTAGAAAGTTCGATGTTTCGGACACCGATTCAGGTAAGAATCCCTCACTTTATTTCATGTTATGGAATTGAAGCCTAATAATCAATAATATGATATTTTGTGAAAATGAAAAAACTTTGAGAATAATTATAGGTCACTAATAGAGCTGGAACCGGTTAGTTATTTATTTGTTCCTGTTTAACTGATTATTTAATTTTACAGCTTTAAATATATAATAATATATTAGAATGATTAAATGATTCAATTGTGCTTCCTTGATACATATATCGCTTGTTTTGCGTGATTTACGGTTGATTTGTGAAATATGAAATTAATATGCAGATGAAAAATTACTTGATTATGTGAATTAATAAATGATTGTCTTACTGGATATCCTAAGAGATGGTAGATGGATCAGGTATATAGGGAACTCTACCGTGAACGTTATCTCATACCGGACAGGGTATCGAGGGAGGGTATTTTTGGCACTCAAACCGGATGGGGTATGAGGACGACCCGATTCACCCTCATACCGGACGGGGTATGGAGATGACCGGTTAATTTACAAGTTTAGATATTGAGTTCACGTGTAGTGGGACATCCCTATGGAACCCCAGAGATACCAGTAAGCAGATAAAAAGGAATGTTGTTATTCTTGCTCACTTGAATATGATATCATAATGTTATTTAAGTTATTGTCTATATAGGTCGATTTTGAAAATCTCGTAACGATAAGTATGCAATAAATTGTTTTTTTTGTGATAAATGACAATAAATGATAATAAATGATTTTTATTATGATAAATCAACTTACTTAAATTAAGAGTTCTATTAGTCGTTTTATATTTTATGATTTTTACCAACCTTCAATTTTTATATCGGTGAGTAGTGTAATATTCTTATTGGGCCATTGTACTTCACCCCCTCCCATATTAATTATTTCATATCAATAATATCAAGGTCCAGATCCCGATCAATAAAAGAGTTGTAAATAGTTCACCACCCAGACTCTTTTTAAAAGATAGTGAAGGTCGTTTTAAGATGTTTAACTATTTATTTTTCATTTATTTCTTAAATTTTCGTTTGTTCTTTTGAAATGAACATTTCTATAACCTTATTGGACATTTCTAAATAATTGTGTAAAGAATGTAAACTCAAACTCTATTATTTCGATTCTGTATTTAATTTATGACTTTGTTTCCATTTAAGTAACGGACTTTTACAAATATTAATAAATAAAAGTTTTATTGATGAAAAATCTTTGTTCAACAATTTATATGAATATATTATTAATAAATAGATTTAGATAATTAAATGTTTATTTTTATTACTATTATATAGGATCTTATCTCAAGCAACAATACATGATTAATACTATAGAATAATATCTTAAAATTGAGTTTGGTTTATTTCCTAGTTACTTCTTAATTAATTTCTAATTTTAATTTTATAATATAAAACTAAGATATAATTAATATATTCAACTTATAATTATTCTTTTTGATGATGAGAGTTAAATTCTTATTTTTTTTTAAGTGGAGAGTTGAATCATAGCCGTAAAAAATGGGTAAACCATAAAATTCTCTTTAAAGTTTATTATAAAATATATATAATATATTAATTATTATAATGAATGGTTTAATGCTTCCTTCTTTATTAATCAAATTAATATTGTTATTTATAGTTAAAATTTATTTATCTATTTTTATTATTTGAATAAATTATTAAAGGAATTATGATAATTTTTGTTAAGGGTTATTATTCTAATTTTAGAATTTCCGGAGTTAAAAGTATAAACCTTAAATTACTTGGAAAATTAAAAAATGTAATTTATTTAAATTTAAAAGTTATTAGGAAAAAAAACAGAAAGTATCATGAAAAAGCAGACGTGAGGTGACGTGACATGAAAAAAGGTCAGAGACGAACCAATAAAAAACAGCCACGTTGACGAAATATTCCACGTGTTACGTTGTACGTGAATTCCCATGCACAACGACCATCAGTCTCTACAGAGCTAACTTTGCTAACGTGCGCCGCGGTATACTCTATAAATACCGACCCGACTTCGCCCCCGCCAAATACAAAACGATTTCTTGCGATCGAGACGACGAATCGATCGGGCAGCTGATACACTTTGAGGAAGAGAGTGATTTTGTAAGGAAGATGATCATTGAGGTGCTACCGGTGATCGACCTGGAGCCTTACCTGGCAGTGGCGGGAGAAATCGGGGACGATACGAGTCGGCTAAGCCCCAAACTCATTGAGTTATGCAGAGAGGTGACTCGAGTGCTGAAGGAAACAGGTGCCTTGGTGGTGAAAGATCCGCGGTGTACGGCTGAGGATAACGATCGCTTCATTGATTTCATGGAGAAGTATTACGAGCGGCCATTTGAGTTCAAGACGAAGCAAGAGAGGCCCGATTTACTTTACCAGGTTTTGTTTTTCTTCTTAACTAGAATTTGTACAGTTTGAAAATACACGCAATTTTAAAATTACGTTTTGAATTTTGACAGGTTATTTTCTAGTAAATTAATTAATACATGCACGTATATATATATAACAATGACATGAAACAATTTTCTTTTTGTACAGGTGAGAACTGTGAACGAGATGAACTTGATTGGACTTTCCTACATTCTATACATATATATATATATATACACATGCATTTATATTTATACATAATTTTAATATTTGTCAATTAAATTTGAATTTGAATTATAAAATTTATAATAAAAATGTTATGTTATCTGAACTAAATATTTTTGATAAGTTATATTAATTTATTATGATTTTGATAGAGAAAATAGACAAGAAAAATTATGTTTCCCTTTTTTTTTTTTTGGGTGTTTGGCTGATGAGAAAATAATGATGAACAGGGTGGAATAACACCAGAGAAAATAGAAGTTCCAAGACTGGTAGTTGACGAAGAGTGGAAGGAGAAAGTAAAGGCAATGCCAAAAGAATCTCAGCCGTTGATTCCCATTGGACCTGATCCCAAATGGCGATACATGTGGAATATTGGTTCTCGCCCAGCAAAAACCCGCTTCAAGGTCAAATTAATTTATACTTATTTATTATTATTATTATTAGTATAAAAAGTAAAAAAAGCTCAATTAATTAATTTTTGTTGGCAGCAATTTAATGCTGACGCTGTAAGGCCCGAAAGCTTTCCCGAATGGAATGATGTAATGGACTCTTGGGGAAGCAAATTACGCTCAGCAATTGAGGTGTATATATATATAACTATTTTTAAGTATATCTGATTATATAAATATATATATTACTGAGATTTAGTTCTTGTATATCTAGATGCGGACTGTGGCTGAAATGGCAGCAATAGGATTTGGAATACCC